ATATACTGCAGTGTGGGGAGCTTGAATTTTGGCACTGCAAAGACCTAGGTTCAAATCCCAGCTGTGGCACTTCTGAGCTGCATGCCACAAACAACATAATCCCTGAGTTTGATCCCCTGGTCTGCCTTGCGATGATGGTCGTAAAGTAGCATACACCTACCTCATAAAACTGACATTAAGCAAGATAAACAACTGTAAATGTGATTCATTTTCCCTCTTATTTCTTCATTTTATAGATAAGAGAATACTGAGGCACAGAAATGAGGTTTTTTTTTTTTTACCAAAAGCACAGTAATTTACAGATAAAGTTGAAACTAGGCTTAAAAAATTCTTGATTTAAGGATGCAAATGTGGGAAATGATGTACTAAAGACCAGTAGATCCGTTGAGAAGGATGGTAATTTAATAAGTACCACCTTCCCTGGTGGCTCAAATGGTAAAGAATCCGCCTGCAATGCGGGAGACTTAGGTTGGATCCCTGGGTTGGGAAGATCCCCTGGAGAAGGAAATGGCAACCCACTGCAGTATTCTTGCCTGGAGAATCCCCATGGACAGAGGAGCCTCGAAGACTGCAGACCACAGGGTCGCAAAGCATCCAACATGACTGAGCGACTAAGCACACACATCTTATAGATAAAATGCCATTAGAAGTGTAGAACAAGTGTAATTCATGTGGTTAAAAATTTAACATATTTATATAATACTTTATGCTTTATAAAGTGCCATGACTAATATAACTTAATCTGACCACAATAGCCTTGTCTTTTAAAGACCCATTTTTTTTTTTTTTTAGTTATAGGAGTAATAATTTCATAAACTAAGAAATCTCAGAAAAAATAAATTACTCTAGGTGTGAATAAAGAAAAATCAGGAATAAGCAATGATTTTGCTAATAGTTTCTCAACTTTTAATAAAAACCCAAGTTTCTCTTAACTGTATATACCATACATATGTTAAATAAGAGGTTTAAAAAGTAGCTATTGACACTTTGCTAGGAAGAAAAAGGTTGGTTGGATTTGTTGCAAAAAATATAGATAAGGAACTTCCCTGGTTGTCCAGTGGCTAAAAGTCCAAGCTCCCAGTACAGGGTTCAAACCCTGGTCAGGGAACTAGATCCCACATGCCGCAATTAAGAGTCTGCATGCTGAGACTACAGATACTGCCTGCTGCAATGAAGATCAAAGATCCCATGCGCTGCAGCTAACAGTGGCACTGACAAAAAAAAAAATTGGTAAGTGATAAAATGTCAGAGTAAATTTTATATGATCAAAGAAATAAAAGATTGTTACTAATAGAGGCTAATGGTTTTTCAAAATACATCTTTATACCTTAGATTTCAATTAAACAGTGTCTTCAATATTACACGTAGCCAAACCATGCTTTCCTTAAAACCCGGCTGTTCCCTTCTCTTGAAATCAATAGATGCTAGAAAACAAACTTTAAAAATCCACAAAAGTATTTTAAATGATTTTAATAGAAGATTGCTGCACTTCCCATTTATAAAAAGTCAACATGTCTCCTGAAACATAGCATTTGCTGTACGTAACTTATCAGAATCTTAACCATTTGTACACTGGTGATGAGGGCCATGGAATATTCTGTTTTGGACTGGGAAACTGCATCATGGTTACTGCATTACTTGACAGCACACCCCCACCCCACCTGTTCATAATGCTGTTACTGTTTAGTCACTAAGTCATGTCCGACTTTGCAACCCCATGGACTGCAGCACACCAGGCTTCCCTGTCTCCTAGAGCTTGCTCAAACTCATGTCCATTGAGTCAGTGATGCCATCCAACTATCTCATCCTCTGTCAGCCCCTTCTCCTCTTGCCCTCAATTCTTCCCAGCATCAGGGTCTTTTCCAATGAGTTGGCTCGTGCATCAGGTGGCCAAAGTGTTGGAGCTTTAGCATCAGCTCTTACAATGAATATTCAGGGTTGATTTCCTTTAGGAAATATTTGTAACATCCCACCGCAAATGAACATGTCGAATATTCTTAAGTTCTCTGTTCGTTAAAGCCCCTGACCTGGCAGAAAATCTAATCAATGGATCTTATATATTGTGGCCAAATTAACTTGAAAGTGATTCTGCACTGTTACTTCCTTTTCCAAAAGTCAACAAGTTTCTTATTAATAGCATCACATTTAAAATAATGGCTAATTCTTACCTGCAACACACTTCATTCTTTTATTTCATCACTTCACTTGATCATGATGCAATGTGTAATGAGGACAAATTTTCCTTGAAAACTAAGAATGGTTATTTTTATTTTTCTCCTACACTGTCAGTATAATATATTAACTCACAGCACCACCTATCTTTGAATAAAGGTTAGGAAACTAGTTTTACTTTTAGCATAATGCCCAAATATCTGGCCTTTACAATTTAGTGTGAAATTAAGTCCAAAATGCCAAAAGAAAAAAAAAAATATCTAAAAACAGAAGTTCCATTTGACATGTACACTCAGACCAGTACATATCAATTTCTTGGCAATGTTTCAAAGGAGTCTGGCCAGCAGCATACTAAATTAGATTTTAATCTGCTACAAAATAGTCAGTGAGCAAACTGTGCCTGAAAATGTTAAGTACAAGTTGAAGTCAGGGAGAAGCAGGGCCATTCTGACTTATCAATTCGAATACTCGCTGATATTTCCATGCCCAAGTGTTAACTAGAATTTGTGCTGCCTTTTCCTTAGCAGTCTTCTCAACATTTTGGTCATTTCCCTTATTTAAATTAGAAAGGAAAAAAAAAAACCAACACAGGTATAAAGTTTCATTTTCACATCCTGTCAGTACTATAAACAAACTTAAAATGTGAAAGATAGCCTGCTCTTATAGCACACAGTTCATTCTCTGTAACCATCCCAATCAAGGACACCATACCTCTTTCTCAAATTAGTGTTATTCTCTGACCCTTCAATAAACCTAGGCAGTACAGATGTATTAGAGAAAACAGTATTAGTCAGAATGAATGAGCATCTAAACCAACAGCTGAGAACTCAAGCCATGAGAAGCAACTGATTATAGGAAAAGCTTGGCTGTGATGTCCATGAAGAATTAAAATGTCTTGAATTTATGGAGCATCTCTTCTGTGGAAGGCAGGACAGCTCTGAAAGGCAGGCGGGGCCAACTGTCATCACCCACTTCACCTACCGGGAAACAGACATGACTACAGATCAGTGTAGTGACTACTTGATTAGACGTGACTACAGAAGAGTGTCAGTCTACCGGCAAAGCAGAACTCCAGGCCAAGGGTGACTTATGGCTGCCTCATGTGCTATTCCTCAGATATAAAAATTAGAAAAAAAAAATTCAGTTAAAATGAACTGAAAATAATGTGACTTATGAAAGTTATTTTGAAAATAGCATTTGGTTACAATTTTTAGTATAACTGTTAATATGACAAAAGTTTTGAAGACTATTTTTAAAGAATGGCTGAGTAACTGAATTAAGCATCTTAGCAATTGATACAATGGGGCTCTAATTATTTTAGAAAGCTCTTTTGTTATAGCATAAGTAGTTCATCACGTCATAGCATACAACTTATACCACAGGTAACTGGTAGCCACTGGTAAATTAAATCCATCCAATTCCAGTTACAGTTAGTTTATCAACTGTTACAGAGTTGTTAAAAGAAGTTCTTCTAATCTTTACAAGAAGTAGTCAAACTTTCGTATTACCAATGGAATAAAAAGGATAGTTCTCACTTGCTTAACAGGTCTTCTCTTCCACTCTTTCTGAAGTTTTACATCCACATCCATTATTTTCCTAATGTCATATTATAGGTGACCCCTGTAACATGAGTTTGAACTGTGCATGTCTACTTAACATATGGAATTTTTTCAGTAAGTACCTACTATAGTACTACCTAATTCCCATTTGGCTGAATTCCTGGATGCAGAACCAGGGATATGAGGATTGACTGTAAACTTAAACACTGATTTTCAATTGCATGGGCCACAATTACCTACCTTGGGTTGTTTAAGGGTTAACTGTAATTTTAAATTCCTTCTCTCCTTCTGTAGGATCTCATTGAAGCCATTCCAGGGAAATTACTAGTCTATTTCAAGGTACTAAACTTCTGTGCCTTAACGTTTAAAATACAATAGAAATTTTTATATTTTCTTATATTTTATTGCATAATATAAACTTGATTAAAATGTATTAACAACACATTGTGTTCAAATCAACACTAAATTAAAATGTTTGGCAGGAAATCACATGACTTATTTTAATATATTCCAACTCAGTACGAAGGTGAGCGAGCAGTTTATTTCTGAAGTTTTAGATATTTTAACTATAATTCATTATCAAAACAAATGTTTTGGTCTCTTTCTTCATCTTTAATTTTTTAAAAAATTCTTCTTAAGTTCACAGTGTCATGGAAGTGTAAAATAAGATGGATAAAAACCACTTTAAAACATATGGCTTTATATACATAAAAAATTCAATAATGTTGCCACAACCCCTAATACAGTGTGATTCTTATTTATTTACTAGTATCCAGAATAAAGTTCTGTACATATTAAATTGTTCAAGTATATCTAGAGCAGTGCTTGTAAAAGTGAGGTCCCACTGCTACAATAATGGGTATCTCTTTGAAGACCACTTCTAATTCCAACACAGTTAAGGTAGAGTTCTAAAATTTTTTGATTTTACAGTTTATCATACATCCTCAAATATCCTAAAATGCTCCACTGAGCCAAACATCTAATTTAATTTACATCTAGTTTAACATCCCTTTAGTAGAGCACCAGTGGTTAAACTAAAAATGCATGTGACTAACCACATGTTTTCATCCTTCTATTAGTTACAGTTTGTTATTTACTTCCATAACATCAAACCCGAATGAAAATGAAGACAACTCAGGTCAAACTCCTTCACCTTAAATAAATACACATTTAGTCCACTTCATACTTAAATACCTAATTGTTTTCCTATAGTGTATGTTTCTCAGTAACAGCAATACAATTAACTAAGCCAAATCTTATCTTTGAGGATCAGGCAAGTCGGAGAGGATTCTCCAGGTTTGCTTTAAAACTTTCCAGAAACCTGGTGGCCAGTTCGTCGTCGACCACCCGGCTGTCACTGGACATGGTGACCGTTATGAGCTGACGCTGCTGCAGCTGGGCATTCCCCTCTTCATCCTGAGTGAGCTTCAGCACAGGTCGGAATCTCCCTACAGCCAAAATGCAGGCCTGAGGAGGGTTGATCACGGCAGTAAACTCATCGATGCCAAACATCCCTAAATTGGAAATACTAGGGGAAAACAAAAAGCTCTGAAGGCAGTATGTCTTTAACCAAAGAACCCTTTCCCCGAGTCATACATTTTTACTTTGCTGAAAAACTGTGCCCAGTTACTCAAAGACCAAAGACAAAGAATACCATTTACTATAGTATCAAAAAGAAACCAAATAACAACACACAAATACTGTATCTAATATACACATATATTCAGCATTGAACTGTAAACCCCAGGCAGAGAAATATGGCAAGAAAAAGAAATAGAAAAAAAAAAAGGAAATAGAAGAGTATAAGGGTTAGAAAACAGAAATAAAACTTTGTTTGCAGATGAACTGACTGTGTACAAAGAAAATCTAAGCATCTACAGATAAACGAGTAAGATAAGTGAATTTAGCTAAACCACTAGATAAGTCGATGTAAAAATCTGTATCTATATACAAGCTGCTTTCATTAGAAAAAACTAAAATAATACCATTTATAATAGTATAAAAAATCTAAATCTAATAAAACATATATATGATCCCTAAACAAAAAATTACAAAACAGAGCTGAAAGAAATCAAAGAACTAAGTGAACAACGGTTTATACCATGTTCATTCACTGGAAGAGTCAATGCTATAACGGATGTCAATTCTCCCTAAACTTAAATCGATCAAACAATTCAGTGCTATCCCAACAAAATCCCAGCAAGATCACTGCCATGTGTGTATGAAAAAAGACAAGCTGATTTAAAAATTTATTTGGAAATATAAAGCCAGGAAAGACAATCTTGATGGTGAACAAAACTGGAAGACTTTCACTGTCATAGATCAAAAATTATAGTTAGCTTGTATTAAGCAAGCAAAGGACAAACAGACCAACTGAAAACGAGATAGAATACAGAAAAGAACCAAATATGGTTACCTTCTCAATGCTATATAGTAGTAACGGTATCAATAACTGACATTTAGTCAATTAATTATCCAGATGGGGGTAAAAAGAGAACTTTGACCTTTAACCTCCATATCACAGACAAAATCTGATTTCAGATAGATAGTAATCTACATGAGAGAAATTATAAAGCTCTGAAGATAACACAGAAGAATAAAACTTCATGACTCTGGGATAGACAATAATTCCTAGCAGGAAAAAAAAAAAGTACTAACAACAAAGAAAAATACTGATAAATAGGATTTTATTAACTCAGAACTTCTGTTCATTAAAAAACACCATCAGAAAAGTTTCAAAGGCAAGGTACAAAGTGGGAAAAGTATTTGAAACAATATATATCCTAAAAAGCCTATGTATCGGGAAAAAGAAACTCCTATAAAACATTTTAAAAAACAATCACAAACTTCAGCAGGTGTTTTACCTGATAAGTAACCAGATACCCAAATGGCTGACAGATAAATGAAGACAGTATTCAACATCATTAATTTTCATTTCCCTTGGGCTTCCCAGGTGGTGTCAGTGGTAAAGAACCTGCCTGCCAAAGCAGGAGATGTATGAGACACAGGTTCGATCCCTGGGTCGGGAAGATTCCCTGAAGGAGGACATGGCAACCCACTCCAGTATTCTTGCCTGGAGAATCCCTTGGACAGAGGAGCCTGGTGGGCTACAACTCCAAGACTCACTAAAATCTAATAATACCAAGAGTTAACAAGAATACGAAGCAACAAAAATTCTCATACACTGTTGATGGAAGCAAAAAATGGTAGAACCATTTTGAAAAGCTATCTGGCAGAATCTAGTAAAGATATAAACCCAGCAATTCTACTTTCAGGTTTACAAAAAAAAAAAATACATACATATAACCACAATAAGACACTGATAAGAATGTTCATAGCATCAGCAACAGCATTTGTAAGAGTACTAAACTGTAAACAACACAAATGCCCACCAATAGTGAAATGGACACTAGAGTATTTATACAGAATACTACAAAATGCTACAGTGCAATAATAAGTAAATGACTTTAACAGACATTAATGCTGAATGAAAGAAGTCAGACACTGAAGAATATGTATTTATATAAAGATCAAAGTTGGCAAAACAAAAACATTGGTAATAACTTTCAGAATTGTGGTTACCCTCTAGAGGGTCAGAATTAGGAGGGATAAAGGGAGGCTTATGACATGGAAGTAATGTTCATAGTCTCGCTTTGGTCGGTTACACAGATTTTTTCACTTTGTAAAACATTCCAGCTACATTCAGTGTACTTTACTGTATGTATGTTACACTTAAGCAAGAATAGAGCTGATGATAACTCAAGAGTCACAGTGTTAACATTTTACCCCCAGGGACCTAACCCCAAGGGACCTTAAAATAAATCACAAGTAGAAAAAAAATAGTTGAGGTTTATAAACCTACTTACTATATGTCAGAACCTGAATGTCATTCTATGAACATCTGAATGGGCTAACCAGCTAACCCTAATGGCTTTCTACTAGCTTTGATACGAAAGCTTAACTAGTCTGAAGAACATTTTCACATATTCTCTTGTCTAAAGTATGATATTTAGCTTAAATTTTAAAAAAAGTTTCAGAAAATAAAACAGGTTGACAAGTACTTTATAAATCTTATGTCTGTTTCATGCTGCCAATAATTAAGAGTTTAAATTTTACCTAAAAGATCCTCCTTGATATTCTTCAGGTAACAATTTTCCATCTCTGGCTTTCTTTGATAGAGCCTGAGAAAAATATAAACAGAGCATGATAACCAACACTACATTATATAGCTGATTGTGTCACTTTAAATAGTTTTATAGGGTACACTCTCATCTTTGATAGGCCTTGACTTTATAAGAGAGTATACATACATATGCATGTACATACACATTTTAAAATTATATATGTATAATTTTCTCTAACACACTTAAAAATGAGTAAGAGCACAGTTAATCCAAGAAGCTATAAATATGTGAATCAAAACTCTAGAAAAATCATCTCCCTTTAAAAACTCTTCAAATACTGGAATTATCTTGTATACTATGCAGAATGTTTCACTGTTCTTTATACATACAATGCAATTTTCTGCTTTGCCTATGAACTTTTTTTCTTGCAAGAAAAAGTATTAGAAGAGCCTTTTTTGTTAATCTAGTACCTTTTAAATAAAGTATTCAATGGCAACAATCTCAAAACCAGCACATCAATTTTCATCTTTCAGCATTTGCTTCTCTTTTACCCATAACAGACTAATTTCAAATAGTTGTTAAAAAAACAAAACAGAATTTTATATTTACTTCACAATATTATAAGCAGCTTCAGTGTTGTTACTCTTTATAACTGATTTTTTAAATGTCTGTTTAACATTCTAAAGATTGCATCTGTCACAATTCAGTCATTTTCCTAGTCAGATAATTTGGTTAATTTGTTTCTTTTGAATTATTTCATATGATTTCTCAGAAGTGGAATTACAAAGCCCTAGAAAATGGACTTTTTGTTGTTGTTTTTGATCCTATAGCTAAAGCATTTCCAGAATGAGCTAGTCTATTCTATGCTGCTAAAAGGGATGTAAAAATGTAGTCATTTCATATCACCCTAAAGCTGATGTCTAAAAACTTAGAGAGAGAAAGACAGATAATACTCTGAGAGCGAAAAGCAGTTGAATTTTCCTCTACTTGTACTTGCAATTAATCATACTTTTCTTAATTTTTATTTTTCAATGCTTCAAAAGCAAGAGGACATAGACTGAATCATTGTATATGAATAATAAAGAAATATTTTAGAGAGTAGGGATAAATGAAGCTATTGGGTAGATGATACAAATCTAGGGCTTATTCAATATGATATTCAATATAGATAACAAAGGTATATTTACAATTACCACTGATAACTATTTAATTTTAAATCATAGATGATTCAATTTTTGAAAAATAAAACATTCTTTAAAAATCTAAAAATGATCTCATTGTGACTTACTGCCAAATGCATCAATTACAGATTTATATTACTAGCATACAGTTACTTACAAAACTATATAGATCCGGAATGAAAAATTAAGAGATGAATTTAGACTTGTACTTGGAATATCAAAAATAGAGAGGACAATCTTTTTTCCTGCCTTAAGCAATATAACTTCACATGATCTGAACAACAAGCACATATCATATGAACTTTAAAAGCTTTTCTCTAAAGGCACATGATCACAGCACATCCTGATGAGTTACCAGGCTAAAAGAAACAAAAAACATTTATTATTTAAAAAAAAAAAGACTGCAGCATACATAATATACTTAAAAAAATCTCTATAAACCCAAAACATATCAGTAGGATATTCATGTCAATGAACTCAAGAGACAGCACGGAGTAAGGATAGATTCTGATGAGGATCACTGGTTCTAAAAGTAACTAATTCTCATTGGGATTTCCTGGTAATGTGAACTTAAAAATCAAAGCACGTGTTCCTGAACCATCAAGTTGACAGGACATAATACAAGCTAACTAGCAACTATTTCTAAAATTACCTTGTGCGTGCATGCTAATTTGCTTCAGTCATGTCTGACTCTTTGTGACCCTATAGATTGTAGCCCACCAGGCTCTTCTGTCCAAGTGGATTCTCCTGGCAAGAATACTGGAGTGGGTTGCCATGCCCTTTTTCAGGGGATCTTCCCAACTCGGATCGAACTCGTGTCTGCTGCATTGCAGGAGGATTCTTTACTGCTAAGCCACCAGGGAAGCCCAAAATATATCACATGCCTTACTAACTCATTCAAAAAATTTACTGGCTACTAATGAGGTGAACTTTGCTTCTGTCTCTTAAAACTATTGTAATTAATGAAGAATAGCATGGAATTTAAGCCGTGTTACTGTATTACTTTATTTAGGAAATATAAACTGAACTTTGCTGAGGCAGGCCTTCAGTCCCACACACTGACAACCTTGCGATTCTTAAGCGTCAAGAAGTACTTAGAGCAGGCATTCTTAACTTGGAGTCCATGGGTAGATAGTCACAGTCTAACAAATTCCTTGAAAAACTACTTCCAACAGAATAGTTTTTATTGAAAACTTTTTTTAAAATAAATTCACTGAGCAACTATTATCTTCTAAGCACCATCCAGAATTAGATATACGGCAATGAACAAGACAGTCAACATCAGAGTGTCCGGAACATACAGGGGTCGACAAATAAATAAACAAGGTAAATTCAAAGACTTGTAAACCATACAAAGACAATAAACAGGGTAATTATTTAGGAACGTACTTTAGCTATGGAAGCCACAGAAGGCCTAAGAAAGTGGCATTTGAACTGAGAAATGCCTGGCTTTAAACAAACAACTTCTCGTGCTTTCTAGATGCAACACTGTGGGCAAATTTCTTAAAGTCTGTGCTAAATCTCAGTTTCTTCAATTTGAAGTTAAGCTTCCAACTCTGATATAAAGCTATTAAGATTGAGTGAAGTGCTTAGCCTACTGTCTGGTACATTATAAGATAAGATAAGGAAGTGATAAGTCTCAGTCATGTCCGACTCTTAGAGACCCCATGGACTATAGAGTCCATGAAATTCTCCAGGCCAGAATACTGGAGTGGGTAGCCTATCCCTTCTCCAGGGGATATTCCTGACCCAGGAATCAAACCGGGGTCTCCTGCACTGCAGGCAGATTCTTTACCACTGAGCTATGAGGAAAGCCCTAGTGGAGTGTTAATCACCGACCTTGAAGTGGGAGAGAGGCAGGCAGAATGGGAAGCTCAGACAAGTAGCCAGAGCGAACAGACCCAGGAGCTGCTGGGAGTTACAGGAAATGCTCAAGGATCACCAGAAGCCCTGGGATACTCCCGAGGGCTGGGAGGGCCCTTCCCACTGCTGGGAGGCGAGTGACACTGCTTCCTCACCACCTCAACTTAGTTTCTTTTAGGATGCAAGGAACAGCGAATGCTAACATAGCTGCTTTAAGAATCATATTATAGGACTAAAATTGATAAACTGGTTAGAATCAAAGAAAGTTCCCTGTAACAGTTAATTTTTAACTCTATAAGTGGAAGTGGAGTCGCTCAGTCATGTCTGACTCTTTGCGACCCCATGGACTGTAGCCTACCAGGCTCCTTCATCCGGGGGATTTTCCAGGCAAGGGTACTGGAGTGGGTTGCCATTTCCTTCTCCAGGGGATCTTCCCGACCCAGGGATTGAGCCCAGGTCTCCTGCATTGTAGACAGATGCTTTACCATCTGAGCCACCTATAGTTAAAGGAAATTCTAACTCTGTTTAATCTAATCTCATATGAACACCACAAAAACACTAAAATTACATGCATTTCACTGCTGCTGAAAACTGTTCATGAAAAAAAAGGTGTGCAGCATCTAAGTAATCCAACCTTTATTACTTTAATTTTTGAATACCACCCTTCAATTTAAAAAAAGTTCCTTTTTTATATATAAAAACACTCTGCAAATCTTTCCAAAGAGGAGGGAAAAAGATCTAAGTATGCAAATTCCACTAAGGTCACCTTTAATTATATTTAACTCAAGATCCAAGACTATGCATTTTTAATTAGATTACCTTCCATTCATTGGGGCTTCACTGGTAGCTCAGCTGGTAAAGAATCCGCCTGCAATGCAGGAGACTCTCGTTCAAGCCCTGAGTTGGGAAGATCCCTGGGAGAAGGGATACACTACCCACTCCAATATTCTTGGGCTTCCCTTGTGGCTCAGCTGGTAAAGAATCCGCCTGCAATGCAGGAGACCTGGGTTCCATCCCTGGGTTGGGAAGATCCCCTGGAGAAGAAAAAGGCTACCCACTCTAGTATTCTGGCCTGGAGAATTCCATGGGGTGCAAAGAGTTGGGCATGACTGAGCAACTTTCACTTTCCATTCATTTATTTATCTGGGATAAGCAGGTCTACATACAGCTCCATAAAGAAGTCTTATATTCTACTTTTTAATTTCCCTTATAACTTGTTTTACATATATATATATGTATAATTTATTTATTTATTTATTCATCCATTTATCCTTGATAAATGGAAAAAGAATCACTTATCTAAATGAATCTGAAATTTTCAAAGGTAACATCCTCAAGCCCTGGGATACTTCTGCCAAAAATTACCCTTGGAAATTAATTGAGGCTGTCAAAGCTGACCTATTGTGTATGTTCCTGCCTATTCAATGCAGTAATTTTGGTGAGAGCTGATTCTTACATATTAGAGCCCAGGGGGAAAAAACAAAAATTTTGCTTCTGGAATACTAAGTACTTTCAGTGGTCTCAACCTTAGAGAGGAAATTAATAAACTTTTAAGAATAAAGTGCTGTGAAAAGTGAGCACTTTAATAAAAATACAGTTTCAGCTTTAACTTTAAAATCTATCTAAAATATCATATTTAGGGTCAAATTATGGACTTGGGAAATAAAGCAGTCATCTGTAGCTTGAATGCAGCTGGCCCTAAATATGCATGTTATTTCTGAACGTTTGAATGCAAAATAATCTTAAAATGGGTTGTATCTGGATCAACTTAACAACATATATGCATAACTGATAATCATTTCAAAATACCAAAAATCTCTCTAGCTTTCTCTCTCTCTCACATACACACATACACACACACATATCTATCTCACAGTGTGACCAGATCATGTCAAGTCTTTCCCAGAAAGTAAATTCCAACATTTTGCGAGTACAGTATCGCTTAAGACGTACCTTTACCGAGTCAGCAATCTCCTGCAGACCCTTAGCAGCAGCATCTTTTATGACTGGCGTAATCAGACCTCTATCTGTTGCCACAGCCACTGAAATGTCAATACAGGGCAGTTGCTTTGCACCCTCTCCATCCCAGCTTGCATTAACACTAGGCATTTGCTAGAAGGCACAAGTAGAAAAAACATGTTATTCAAGAAGGAGCTTTAGACCAAGGTTATTAGAGAAAAATAATTAATGTTATGCATTTTTTAAAGTGAATATAGCTAGACTGAAGGAAAGAAAGAAAAATTTGATTTGAAAAAAGTGGTTTGGACTTCTATATTAAATAACTTTTATGTTTGGTTAGAATAAACACTATCTTTTTTGAAGCAAGCGTAAGGAAATTCTGATGATTTATACATGTTTTGATCTCTTTATATCATGGTTAAGAAAAAGACTTTTTTTCTTAAACCTAATGGCTAGGGAGTATTTAATATTTGTGAGCCTTCCTGCCTCAAATGATGACTGACATAACTTAGAGGAGAAGAGAAGAGGGTAGAGGGGTAGTGACATTCAACCGCATTATTCCTGTGGCATAAAGAAACCTGACTTCTTAGTGGAGCCCTGGGAGATATTAGCAGACCCTTAATAAATGACTTCCTATTTAAGAGAGATTTCCTAGGCTTCATTAATATACGCTACATACTATATATGGGCCTTTGCTGGTGGCTCGGGGTAAAGAATCTGCCTGCTAATGAAGGAGACATGGGTTTGATCCCTGGGTCGGGAGGATCCCCTGGAGAAGGAAATGGTAATGCAGCAACCCACTCCAGTATTCTTGCCTGGGAAATCCCATGGACAGAGGAGTCTGGCAGGCTACAGTCCATTGGGTCGCAAAGAGCCAGACATGACTTAGCAACTAAAACAGCAACATATACTATATATGAGCATGTACATATTTAATATACACACAACTACACTGAGGATGAAAAAAAACAGAAGAAATTACCAAATGCCTGGAAACAGTGTGTATTGATAATATTGTCAACTATCACAAGAGAAAATGATGCTGAAAATGGATATCAACAACTAATTTCTTTTCAAAAATTCATTGCTTTCTGCCAAGTTTGATCCAAGCCTCCCAGCATGTCATTTAAGGACAGCAATCCACAATCTGATTCCACCCAATCTCTCTAATTTTATTCCTGACCACTCTCCTAAGATGAATTTTCACTTAGGTTTCTCACAGTTATGCTACACTGATTTCCATTTCATCACTGTTCAACTACTCATTTCACTTCTCCATCTTTCAAGGCTCAATTCTTTTATTCAACAATGCCACTATGTCCAAATAATAAAGTCTCAACCCCCAGAGGATTTTAAATTCTTCATAGATAATAATGAAATTAAAGAAGAAAATAAATCAAAACAAATCCTCACAAATGAAGAATGTCTGACCCCCAAAATTAGAGACTACTTTAGAAGCCAAAATTATCTGGGCTTTACTACTTACTTTAAGTGTAACAGCTGCTGCCTTGATAATAAAATCGTTTACTGATACTTTAATGTCATCTGAAAGAAAAATAAGCATATGATAGTTAACATTCAAAATAAAACTTTAAAATGAACAATTATGATTTCAAACTTAAATTACAAACTGTACTGACAAACAATGGCAAAAAAAATACTACAGGTCTTTGTTTGCTTAGTCATAAGGTTTCCTTGAGTAGAAAAATTTGTGTTATATGAGGTCTTGGATAAATAATATTAACCATGAATGTAAATGTTTACTCCTAGTCCTGATTACAATTCTTTTAAGTTGCTCAGATATCATACACAAGTACTTGAAAGATACATGACAACCATAATCAGAAAAAAAAAAGAATCAAGTCCTGTGTCTCTAAAAAGACAAATGGTCTGTCCACAGCATGTATAGTCAGGAAGTTTACAAGACGATTCATTTTCTTCCAAATCCTTTTAAAAGACAATTCACTTTCTTCCAAATCCTTTTCAAATGTCTGTATCCTGTGTACTCTTTATAATATACTGATTATATTGAAAAATCACCTTAAAAAAACAAGTATATATATAAACACACACACACACACTGGCAGGGGGGTGGAGTTTTCAGAAATTTCTTTTTACTAACAAGGCATGCAAAGAAAAAATTTTAAATTACTACATTAAATAAGAGCTGATTTTTAATTTAACCAAACAGGATATAGTAAATGCCAAAGACGAAGCAATGCTGGCATGGATCCTAATGCAATGAATGATATGAGGTCTCTCACTAGTTTTATGGTGAATTCAATTAAATCAATGTTCTTCCAGTATACATAATGATTTTAAGATAAAGCTGGGGTCCCCTCCCTTCCCAAAGGGCTGATCATAACAAAAGCATTGGGTTTATACCTCTGCTTTACCAGTGCGTATGAAAGTGTTGGAAAATGGAAACTATATTTAATTCTTTATTGCATGGGCTTCTAGAAAAAGACTTTAAGATCAATATCTAGTCATGGTATGTGGAGGATACACAAATCCAGTTACTATGGTATCATGGAATTTTACATGAACAACAGTTCATTCCAAAGGCATGCTAAGATTTCAGAAAGGGATTAGATGTATTACCATAAACTGAAGTACTGCCAAACTGTCACAGTAACTGTCAGCTGCTTTTCTAATACACAGCTCTTATAATTCAGATTTCCAGAAATACAGACATCTTTGTTTAAAACTCCTTTAGGAGCAGAAAAATAAATGGATTTCCAGTGCTGAGAGACTTTTATCAACTCACTGTGCTTATCTCTCATGTATCTCAGCATCCTTCCCACTTTACCTACCATTCATAGGTGTCCCCAGTGAAGACTTCCCAAATAACCTACCAGCTGATGATTTCCAAATCTAGGGCCCTAGTGGGCAGTCCTCACATGATTTCCCACCCTCATCATACTCCTATATTTCACCACTTTCTTCATCTTGAAACACGTTCTCTTTCTGGTATCTGTGTTACAGACTCTCCTGGTTTTATTCCACAATCTGCTCACTCTCTTTCAGTCAGATACCATTTATATGACAATGAGTCCTTCAAATTCTATCATAAATCCTTCCCTATCTGGAGTTTCACTCTCAAACACACACTTTCTCACATGACATTTTCACTTGTATTTCTGATAGGCATCCCAAATCTAGTATGTGGAAAGATCTTTTCCCCAAATTCCTTTCAAACATATAGAAAGGATACCATTGCTAACATTTTATTAAGAACAGAGTAGGACATAACTGGAAAATTCTCAAAGAGATGGGAATATCACACCTCCTGACCTGCCTCTTGAGAAATCTGTATGCAGGTCAAGAAACAACAGTTAGAACTGGACATGGAACAACAGACTGGTTCCAAATTGGGAAAGGAGTACGTCAAGGCTGTATACTGTCACCATGCTTATTTAACTTATTTGCAGAGCACATCATGTGAAATGCCAGACTCTTTGAAACAAAATGGAATCAAGATTACTGGGAGGTGGAGTAGGAAATGGCAACCCACTCCAGTATTCTTGCCTGGAAAAGTCCATAGACAGAGGACTGGTGGGCTGCAGTCCATGGGGTTACATGACTGAGCATGTGTGCACGAGGGTGGAGGGAGATGGGTTGGTCGCAATAAAGTGGTAGAACTAAAATAAAAAAGAAAAAAAGATTGCTGGGAGAAATATCAATAACCTCAGATATGCAGATGACACCACCCTTAGGGTAGAAAGTGAAGAACTAAAGAGCCTCTTGATGAACGTGAAAGAGGAGAGTGAAAAAGTTGGCTTAAAGCTCAACATTCAGAAAACTAAGATCATGGCATCTGGTCCCATCACTTCATGGCAAATAGGTGGGGAAAAAATGGAAACAGTGAGAGACTTCATTTTTTTGGGCTCCAAAATCACTGCAGATGGTGACTGCAGCCATGAAATTAAGACACTTGCTCCTTGGAAGAAAAGCTATGACCAACCTAATCAGCATATTAAAAAGCAGAGACATTACTTTGCCAATAAACGTCTGTCTAGTCAAAGCTATGGTTTTTCCAGTGGTCATGTATGGATGTGAGAGTTGGACTATAAAGAAAGCTGAGTGCCGAAGAGTTGATGCTTTTGAACTGTGGTGTTGGAGAAGACTCTTGAGAGTCCCTTGGACTGCAAGGAGATCAAACCAGTCCATCCTAAAGGAAATCAGTCCTGAATATTCATTCGACGGACTGATGCTGAAAACTGAAACTCCAATACTTTGGCCACCTGATGTGAAGAACTGATGCATTGGAAAAGACTCTGATGCTGGGAAAGGCTGAAGGCAGGAGGAGAAGAGGAAGACAAGAGGATGAGATGGTTGGATGGCATCACCAACTCAATGAACATGAGTTTGAGTAAACTCCAGGAGCTGGTGATGGAGAGGGAGACCTGATGTGCTGTAGTCCATGAGGTCTCAAAGAGTCAGACCCTACTGAGCAACTGAACTGAACTGAGTAGGACATACACTGTGAGGGAATATCAAATACCCTCATTTGCATATTGTTACAAAACAAAGTGTGAAACATGCTTATAGAATGTTATAGATTATAACCTCATATAAGAAAGAGGAGTGGAGATGCATGGATAATGTGGGCTCTTTGAAGACTTAACAGAAAATCCCTAATTGAAAGGACAAACCACATCTGGGCAATGCAGATACTATATGAATCCATACCTCCACTGAAATAGTACTGCTTCCTGTCTCATGAGGGGAAGGAACTAGGAAAATTATTTCCACAATAACCTCTATGTCATACAAAACTAAGCAAGTTTGATTTGAGACCAAGGGGAGCTTCCAGGGTTAACTTTCTGACTATTGATCACTCGGTTTAAAATAGCTTTCCATTTGGTTCCTTGGACTGTTAGAATCTGTCAGGTTTGAAAGTCTATACCTAAACTGATTTACCAGTCCTGCTTTCATTTAGGATATAGAAAGCCATAAGAGAAAGCTGTGCCCATCTGAATAGGGTGAGAGGAAAAGCAAGATAAACTACAAAATCGTAACTTTCTTGAGCCCATTAGGGAACTGAGGTTATATCTAAGCTTTAGAATTATGTCTATAATTATATGTCTATAATTGTTTATATATGTTTATATATATGTTTATAATTAGAGCTCAAAGGAGAAAAAAATATGAAGTAGAAGATATAGTTACAAATAACTGTATCTAGAAGTTTTCAAAATTAAAGACACAAACTACAAAACAGATAAGCTAAGAGAAACCCAGACAGGATAAATGCAATAGGTCAAAAAAAAAAGGGAAATAAAAATCTTTAAGCATGTAACACTCATACTGCTAAAACATCACATATATAGGATAACAGAAAAAGAATGGCAGCCAATATTCTGTAAGTCAGAAGATAATAAAATGATACCTTTAAAATTACTGAAAAAACAAAAACAAAATAAAAAAACCATACTCGTTTATTTAAAATTCTACACCCAGCAAAAATATCTTTCAAAAACGAAGGAGATACACCCAGGAGAATGACTACTATCAAAAACACAGAAAATAACATCAGTTTATACTAAAAAGTTTATGTCTCTCAGCAACCTTAGTTTTAGTTGATTTGGGAGAGAAACAATACAAATTTAATACCATGAAAGTACATTTTAAATATGAACTAAAAATTAAAACATATAAAGAAGACTGATATCTTAAAATATCTTTAAAATATTCTTAAATCAGTTTTGGATATTTTTATGTTCTAATGTTAAGAATTGCTTCTTCAGATATTCCAAAAAGTATGATGCATTCAATACTATGGAATCAATTTATTTCTTATAGGAAAAGAGAATTCTTTTCTAATACTAAAATATGCCCAGATGATGAAACTGAAGTAAGAAGATACACAATGTACATTTTATAAACAAAGGATATCATAATAGTTTAGCATGTTTATGACATTAAATAAACTCAGTTTTACTAACCTTTGACCAGATTTTGTCTAGCTTTTAGGACAGCTCCAAGGTCACAGTCAGTAGTAGCATATGCATGAGGTATAGTACTTTTAGATTCAGTTAATCTCTTGGCAATAACCCTTCTAATGTTGCTAGCTGGGATTTCAGTGAATGTGCCCTGCAAAAAATGATAACGTGTCCATTAAATCATAAACAGAACTGAAAAAAACAAGCAAATAAACTGTATAACTGAAATCTGATCTCAATGACCTAACTTAAGAAAATAAAGTTTAATACAGGAAAGCCTGTGTGCCACAACAGAGAGCCCTTGAGCTGCAATGAAGACACAGCACAGCCAAAAGTGGCTGTCAGGAATAAAGACCACACTTTCTTTAAAAAAAAAAGGAAACATACCAAATCATAAATAATCCCCTAATGGGTGTGTTTACTGAGATATTACCTATAAGCTTGTAAGTAGCTTTTGTTACAAACATCACTTCTTAAAACTCAAAGCAATCAATATATCAACAAAACAACTACAGGGAATTCTTACTTATTAAAATGGCATACATGAGAAAAAGATAATCCAAAATACTAGATAATCTCCCAAATTATTTCTATTTTGGTTTGTAATTAAGAATAAAACAAATCACATGAGATCTTATTTTCAATAAACTCATAAAGTATGAATGAGATAAGAAGGTCTTCCTATAACTTTACTGTTGCTTTTCAATTCTGTTCCTTGAACCTCTAACAAAAACATGATGGGCCTTAAATTATGGCTAATTCCTTTTTTGTCTGTCATTCTGGGGCAAGATTACAATCACTTAGGATAATAAAAAAAAGTCAAAAGTACAGCTGATTTTTTTTTTTACAAATGCTTTCTAAGAGAATCAAACATTTTATGCTAGCAAAACACTTGATCAAATAAAATAAATAATGTTTATATACTGAAAGAATTTTAAAGTTTATCTGCCAAATTTGAATAACTTATTTTTTAAAGAAATAAGATCTGATTACTCATAAACTGTTGTGTATGTAGACATGAATCATTAACATACATTTCAAAAATCTGTTTCTCATGAAACTTGTACTGTTTCTAATTCTTTGACAATATTACATTTGAATACATTTCTCCATCAGAAAAGGCACTGTAGGTTTATTCTTTTCAGTGCCCATTCAACTTTAAACAAACATGATTATCCTGCATTTCTTCTGATGGGAAGCAAATGACATAAAAGGTACTAAGAAAGGGAGACAGGGAGGTAAAACGGAGTAATTTGAAAACAAAAAAGGGCATGTATCCAAGAGGGAGAGAACAATTAGCTATACAATTTCTACAAGTTTTTCACTGTAAGACTATCAACAGTTAGTCAAAAATAAAACATATCCACAAAAGGGAGCTGGTGTCAGCTATTGGTAACTAGTAGCACACCCAAGGAAAAAAGACATGGAAAAGTATCATTATTATAGGGCAGATACATGGCACGTACACTGTGGAACTTGTGGCAAATTTAAATTGAATCATAATTCTATTTGGAAGTTAGCACTGTATAAACAAATTTTGTTTATAGAAATGTGCAAAACAGAGTGTTTCTGTCTTTATCACTTTGAGCTACTACTAGTAGCTCATAACAGACTAGTAAAAGAACCCATAAGACGTTAAGAGTAATGGTTCTTATTTTTTCTCTCAGTTAAATCTGAAAAATAAAAATCTATTCAGATGACATTACCTCTACATTAGGTTGTCCGGGAGTGGATACAGGAGGGATCATTGGCCGGGGATAAGATGGAGTGGCTGCAGCCTGTGGGGGCAATGGCGCTGTGGGAGTGGTTGGCAGGGCTGGGGTGGGTCTGGGTTCAGTGATCTTGCCTGTCTGTTTCAACTGGACCAGTTTGAGAGCATCCCTGGAGATAAGAAGGGAGTTAGATAACCATGATTAGCAACCAGGACTATAAGAATGTTCAGAAAATGGAGGCTACATGTGGAGGGAAGATAGAGGAAATGAGTATTTTTTTTGGGAGGGAGGTGTCTTTTGGCAGATGAGCAATTCATAAAGTAAGCCATACCCTCATTCTTGGTACTTGTGAAATAATTTTCACATAGCATTCAGAGAGTGTTAAGCTTATTGTACTTATGACTTTCATTAGGATATTTACTAAAGTATTGGTGCAAATTCGACTGTTTATGACCAGGAAATCATACCACTTAAAATTATGCTCAAATGCTATCAGCACAATCTAATGTAATAAATCTAACCCATAAAAGCATTTAGAATGAAAAATAACTAAACGAGTAACAGATTTGCCTTTGTATTATTCTGCAAAACAAAGGTGTCTTTGTTTATTAAAAGGATATAATTAGACTACCATGTCAAGCTCTCAATCCATTCTAAGTTATAGTGGCATAAAGTCATGTATTTCCTTATACAAAACAGCTTTTTTGAAAATTTTAATCTGACAATTCAAAAGTACTTAAAAATGTCTTACATTAAAAATGTTTTAAACCTAATTTTTTTTAAATAAAAAAGATTTTACATAGTCTAAAAATGACTTCAGGGTGACACAAATCCAAAGGCAAATTATATTTCTGAAATTTCTTAAATGCAGTTAGTGATCTGGTATTATCACATGGTAGGAAGAGTGTTAACTCTGAGACAGCCCAATATTGCTGTTCCTGGTGTATACATCCCACATCATCTCTTCTGAGTGTACCTGGGCCTGTGAACATGATGGATGTCACTCCCATGATTAGGTTGCCTTTGAGGACAAAGTGATGGATTTTTGTAGACATATCCATTAAGGTCCTAAATCAGTGACACTGAGTTAATCAAAAGGCAACCTATCCAAGGTTCAGACATATCAGGTAAATTCTTTAAAAGAAAGAGAAAATTCCTAAAAGAAATCTGAATGGAGAAAAATTCTTTTATTTGCCTTGGAGAAACAAATAGGCATTTAGGAACTGTCTATGGAGACAACCACATAGAAAAGATCTGAAGGAGGCCTCCAAGAGGTGACAGCAATCCCTGGATGAGAGCTAGCAAATAAACAAGGGTAAGAGTTCTAATACCCAAGGACCTGAATTCTGCTAACAACCATGTGAGCCTGGAAGAGGGCTCCAACCTGCAGATGAGACCCTACTCCTGGCTGACACCTTGATTTCAGTCTTGTGAGACCATGGTTCAGAACCCCAGCCATGCTGGGCCAGGATTTCTGATCCACAGCACTGTCAGACAGTAAGTAGGTGTTGTTTTAAACAGCTACTAAGTTTGTTGCAATTTGTCACGCAGCAATAGAAAAGTGACAGATAGGAATGCTCCAGCCTGGGTGACTTCACGGGAGGGATCTCCCGAAGTGTACATGCACATTTTTAAGGAAAGAGAGTCCATTCTTTTTATATCAGGTCCAGAAAGGGATACATGAACTTAACATTAAGTGCAAGTAACTTACTTGCTTCAAAGTTAAAGAGTTGACATTTAAGATAAGCAGTCAGACTGATAAAGAAATTTCAAATCATCCTCGACCTTTAGGTTAGGAAAGAGGGAATAAAAGTGGAAAAATGAGCCTCCTGTGTAGGTAGTGTGGTTATGTTAATTACATAATCTTACACCACCCATGTGAGAGGATAGTACTCCCAATCTATAAATAAGTAAGTAGGTTCAAAGAGGTTATAGCCCAGGGAACTCTACTGTAATGGACTATGTGGGAGAGGAGTCTAAAAAAAACTAGATATGTGTGTATGTCTAACTGATTGACCTTGGTGTACACCTGAAACTAACACAGTACTGTAAATCCACTATACTCCAATAAAAACTAAAACAAACAGCTTCCATTCCATTTCTAAGTCAGTACTTGTCAAGCACCTACTATTATCCTAGGTGTTGAAAACACATGGATGCGTCCCACCAAGGAGTGTTATTCTATAGGAGAGTCACACGTTAATCAAGTAAACAAATGAATAGATAGTAAGTGAAGAAAATAAAGCAGAGTAATGAGGCTGAAAGTCATGGGTGAGAGGAGGTGTTATTTTAAAACAGGGTGGTCAGGGAAGGCCTGAGGACATATTATTTCTGTGAAGGACATGAAGGAACAAGTCTCAAGAATAGCTGGGAAAAGCATGTGTCAAGGCAGAGAACAGCCAAGTGCATAGGCAGGGAAATTAGGGCTTCTAAGAACAGACAAAGCCCAGTATAGAAGGAGTGCAACGAACACAGCGGAGAAGCTTTATAGAAAAAGCTGAAGAGGCAGGCAGCTAAGAGCTGCCAGGACTGCAACCAAACCTTGGTATGACCAACTCCAAAGCCTCTGTATTTTCTTCTACTTTTCTAATATCTATGCAGAGTATGTCAACTAAACTAAGGCAGAGTCAGAACAAATTTTTCTCATAAGAAAAGACTAGACTAGAATGGAATAAGCCTACCTCAGACTGACAGCAATTCTGGGACTGAGGAGCCTGCGGGCTACAGACCATAGGGTTGTAAAGAGTCAGACATGACTAGTGACTGAATATGCATGAGTGCTGGGACTGAATGAAGAAATGTTTTTTATCAACCTCGTCTATATATGGAGCTAAAAGTAGGACCTCCTGACAAAGGTCCTCCATCCGTCACGTGAAATTAACAGGAACATAACTGGAGGCAATGCTGGTGCTCCAAGGTTGAGCCACACCATGGTGGTGATGACAGAAAGACTGAGTGTCCCAGGGAATGAGCTTATGTTCTCTTAAGGCTTTTGACCACAAGCTTACTCCTGTTTAGAAGTTAACTTTTAATTTACCCTGATAGGTCAGTTGGTAAAGAATCCGCCTGCAATGCAGGAGACCCTGGTTCAGTTCCTGGGTCAGGAAGATCCCCTGGAGAAGGGAAAGGCTACCCACTCCAGTATTCTGGCCTGGAGAATTCCAGACTGTATGGTCCATGGGGTCGCAAAGAGTCGGACACGACTAAACGACTTTCACTCACTTTAACTTACTTATGCTATTTATAACCAGAAGCACCATTTTTCCAGTTAATTGTGGCAATTTATATGTGAAATAAATGACTACCCTATATTCGCTAGGGATATATGTCATGAACCAAAACTTTGGCCACACAGATAAAAGTGTGAGCACTGATACAAAAGAAGACCTTTTACTGATTTAAAGAAATGCCTTTAACAAAAGATATTTTGCTTTTAAGAGTTCTTACAAGTTACAGTCTAACATTACTAGTCCCTTTTCATCACCTAAGGTAATTAAATACGTCTCTCTAACAAAATCTATTATTAACCTGGGTTTTAAAGTTCAGCATCAGAATAGCACATACAAAACACACTGATTTTCTCATTCAGGGATCACTAGTGCACTCTCAGGAATCAGTTAAAAGCAAACAAAGCAACAATAACAACAAAAAAACATGAATACTTGAGGAAACTAAAAAAATCTAAAATAATACCTAAATACATCTACTTAAAAAAAATGTTGGTCAGACTAAATAGATACACTTTTATTTCACTATCAGCATAACTATTACTATTTTTTCAAGAAAAGGCAGTTTAGGTTCATCTATAAGAGTCATTAATCATAAACAAGTAGCAGAAAATCAATTCTGGCCACAGGCTCACAGTAAACTTTTGTTGCTAATTTTATACTTATAAGCCTCATAAAGTATGAATGGTAATCACTGGTTAATAACAGCCAATAATTAAGTTTCTGTCATGCAGAGAATTACTTTAATGATTTCTGTCCATTAAATAATCAGTCTAAGCTTGAAGAATTAGGTGGACATTAAAAAAATTAAGAGAAAAACTGATATATCACCCACTTCTGCAGAAAGGCAGAGGAAGCTTTGGGCATTCACTTAGGGTAGAAACTTCTCTGTTTCTCTACCAGATCCCTTAATTCATCTGGGTGTGCTAAGAATTAGTTCTAAAAAGAAATATCAGAAAACATAAAACATGACTGTCATGCCTACTATACTGTATCTGTGACACTGTGACATGAATATAAGCATTAGCTACCACTATGATTTAAGACACAGATACACCAAAGAAGCTAGGCTGCAGGCCAAGACTAAGTGTGTTCTGCCTCCAACAGCGTCCTTGGCACTTGTTTTCTTAAAATTATGTTACATGTATAGGCAAAGTCAAGTCTGTGCTTTTGCACAATATATATTCTGAGCAATATGTCTGATTTAATGCAACATTAAAACTGCAACCATGACACTTTGATTTTCTTCATAAACGCAACGGATCAGAAGTAACTCCCTCTTTTCTCCTCTACTTGAACTTTCAGTTGACAAAGTAAGGAGAAAGGATGCCCCTCACTATTTCAACAATGTGTAATAAGGTATTTGCGGGGCAGCTTATGCCAAAGCCTGCAATTTCTCAGTCTTACCAGAAGATAACCTTTCTGTAGATGACATGAAGACAAAATTTTTTCCAAAGCTCACCTCAGTGTTTAACTCAAAACATAGGTATCTTTAGTGGTATACAAGCATACTTTAAGGATCCATTTTTCTCATAAAATCCTTTGTAATATGTCACAGTTTGAAGACTGAAGGTTTTGAGTCTCTTACGGTAGAGAGTTAAAGAATAAGGGCAGGGAAAGGATCAGGTAATAAGACAAAGATGGCAAAGATATCAAAAACATAACTCTGCAATAGTGCTTTCTTTAGGGTACCCAATAAGATAACACCATCCTATCCTCCTTAGGAAATGTCAGACCTACTATGATGACTTTCAACTTGGGTTTAAAAAAGATCTTTATTCATCATTTATATAATAAGCACACACAGAGAGAAGGGAAAGAGGAAGAAAACTCTACTTCTTTATCCCACTGCTCTCACACCACTGATCTGCCCTCTAAAAGTTCACTAATCACCAACTTCAAGAGCCTTTTCTCCGTTCCTCCTTGACTTACATCCATCTCCTAGATACCCTCCCACACAGAAATCTGTGCCTTTTAAAATGTTTCCCAATTGATTATCTCAGTCATAACTTTATCACTTTATTATCAAACCTACATCTCTAGTCCCGAACTGTCTCTCGAGACACATCTTCACCTCAATGACCCTGATATCTGCAATCTGGCTTGTCAGCACTGACAATAAACGTCAAACCAAACACATTATTCATCAGTCACTCCATCAAGACAAGTGGTTCCGCCAAACCCTTATTTCTATTTATGGGGCCAAGACATCGCCTGGCTCAGGATCCTAAGTACACTCCTTGAGTCATTGCTCTTCCGCTCCATTCTCTACAGACTTCTGGATTTTCTCCTTGTAATGCTGTCTCCATCACTGACATTCTCATCTGTGTTCAGGGACTCATTCTCTCCTACCTGGACCACTTTATGAGCCTATTAACTTATCTCCTTACCTCAAGTCTTCTTCTGCTCCAGTTTATCTTTCACAAATTTGCAAAATTGATTTTTCTATGGTACACCTATTATTACTTGGCATTTCATCAAGTCTTCAACATTTAATGAATTAATATAGACTCTATCTTCTTCAGATATACAGGTAAGTGTATCATGTTATAAAGAAAGCTGTTTTGACCCATTTTTACAGAGACTTTTTATTAAGGTATAGGTTGGTAGAAGATTAACAAATTTGAAAATTTAATATTACTCTAATAGAAATGTGGCATACACTACTACGGCAATTTCACATTAGTTCACATGCCTAGTTGATTAATCCTTGTCTTCCCCACTAGACTAATTTTCAATAGAGCAGGTGCCATCTATTTCAATATATTCTTGAAAGACACAAAACTTAAAATTAATTTAAGATATGATATAGTCCCAATAAAAATATCATAGTCTTCCTGCCCAACCGTGCCAGTGGGGCTAGATAAATTATTTAAAAACCATTGGGAAGAACATAAAGAAAAAAAAAACAAGAAAACTGGTTTACTGAAAAATAAGAGAAAAGATAGCACTATCAGATTTTGTTTTTCTGGGCTCCAAAATTACTGCAGATGGTGACTGCAGCCATGAAATTAAAAGACGCTTACTCCTTGGAAGGAAAGTTATGACCAACCTAGACAGCATATTAAAAAGCAGAAATATTACTCTGTCAACAAAGGTCTGTCTAGTCAAGGCTATGGTTTTTCCAGTCGTCATGTATGGAAGTGAGAGTTGGACATAAAGAAAGCTGAGCACCGAAGAATTAATGTTTTTGAACTGTGGTGTTGGAGAAGAGTCCTGAGAGTCCCTTGGACAGCAAGGAAATCCAACCAGTCCATCCTAAAAGAAATCAGTCCTGAATATTCATTGGAAGGACTGATGTTGAAGCTGAAACTCCAATACTTTGGCCACCTGATGTGAAGAACTGACTCATTGGAAAAGATCCCGATGCTAGGAAAGATTGAAGGCAGGAGGAGAAGGGGATGACAGAGGATGAGATGGTCGGATGGCATCACTGACTCAATGGACATGAGTTTGAGCAAGCTCCGGGAGTTGGTGACGGACAGGGAAGCCTGGTGTGCTGCAGTCCTTGGGGTCACAAAAAGTCAGACACAACTGAGCAACTGAACTGATCAGATTTTAAAGCTTACTGTAAAATATTTCTAATTAAGAGTGTGGTTCAAAAAAAAAAATGAGGTACTAATTCATGGATAGACTGATCAATGGAATAGAAAAGAAAATCTAAAGTGAGATGGAAATTGCTTTGATCATACACATGTGATTGCATCATTAGCTCATATGAACTTAAAACAATGCAAAGATTCACCACTCTGCTCACTAATTTTCTCAATTTATCATCATTTCTAAGATTCTGGCTTAGCTATCAAATTAGAACTGTTTTTCAGTAATGCAGCAATTATTCAAAAAAACCCTTGATAAAATACAATTTTATGCTGACAAAAGCAATTAAAAGTACAAAAGAGCAGTGAATTTCCTTTTAAATCTTACACTGAATAAGTCCTTCTTTAAACACTTTCAAAAATAGATGATCATATAAATACTGGAACTGGGTATTACAAAAAGCACACACATACTCTTTAGTGAATATCCCTCGAGGGCCAGTGGCTGTGCCCTGGTTAGCATCCAGCGCGTGCTTTTCCAGAATATTGCGGGCAGCTGGACTTAAACGGAACCTAAGAAGAAAATATAAAATCAAAGGAACCAATTAACACTTATATTTGATTCTAAATGTCAACAGCTTTGATGATAATTAGGAAAATAAAAATGTATAATGAAGCTAAAACAACTCCTACAGACAGTGACAGTCAAATAAGTTAATCTGTACTAACCTGGTTTATTTTAGTAATAAGACATTTTCATACAAATTTAATTACTATTCTAAAATATGATAAGAAACTATATTGTTCCTTCGTGTACATTCTATTATAGTAAGATATGTGTAAAATTTACCATTTGAAGCATTTTTAGGCATTTTTATTGAGTGGATTAAGTACAGTAACAACACTCTGCAGCCATCACCACCATCCATCTCCAAAACTTTATCATCCTCCCAAAATGAAACTGCACACCAATTAACAACTCCCCATTCCTTCCTCCCACCAGCCGCTGGCAACCATCACGGTACTCTCTGTCTTTACTAATTTGACTACTCTAGGTAACTCGTAAGTGAAATCATTCATTATTTGTCTTTTTGTGATTGGTTTATTTTACCTACATATCTTCAAGATTCATCCATATTATGTGTAAGCATTTCTTCCCTTGTTAATACTAACATTCCATTGTGTATATATATGTGTGTGTGTACAATACACATATATATTGTATATCGAGCTCTAATACCTGTCAGAAACTCAAATGCAAGGTAGTTGGACATGAGTGTTAAAATTCTAATCCCATGTTATGTCAGTTATACATTTGAAATTGGAATTCACATTACAGTAATTAGGATTCCATAAATAGGAACACAATATGAAGTTTGGTACACTAAATTCCATTCTGGAATCTTAAAACCTAACTCAGGAATTCAATGCAGACACTAAATATTTGCTTTGCTCTCCACAGGATGTATAGGGCCTTCACAGTACTTGGAATATTTAGGTATTCAATACTATTTGTCTGTGGAATAAACAATGATGGTAAAATAATCATTCCTAGATCTCAGTTTCCTAAGAGAAGAAAGGGAAGATCAGCAACTTCTTACTTAATCTACGAAGATGTTTTAAATAGGATAATGATTAAAATGTTCCAAAAGTTGCATAATCTTTAAAAAAAAAAATTCAAATAAGTATCCCTTGTGGCTCAGATGGTAAAGAATTTGCCTGCAATGTAGGAGACCTGGGTTCAATCCCTGAGTTAGGAAGATTCCCTGGAAAAGGAAATGGCTACCCACTCCAGTATTCTTGCCTGGAGAATCCCATGGACAGAGTAGCCTGGCAGACTACAGTCCATGGTGTACAGAGTCGGACACGACTGAGAAATTAATACTCACCATGTTCACATTTAGATCAGAAAACAGATTTAAGAAAGTACCATTTTGTAGAAGGGAATGGCAACCCAGTTCAGTATTCTTGCCTGGAGAATTCCATGGACAGAGGAGCATGGCAGGCTATAGTCCATGGAGTCTCTAAGAGCTGGACATGACTGAGTGAATTTCACCGTCATTTATTCAAATAAACATACTCACTGCAGTTTTCCTGGTGCGTGTTCCTTCTTGACAGGGGTAGAAATCTGTGGTTCCGGTGAGGGGGGAGGCACTAATGGTTTTGCAGCTGGTGGTGGAGGACCTATATCTTTAGGAATTTCAACATGTTTCCAATCTTCTCCTTCTTCAACTAGCAAACCAATCAGTGAACCCAACCGTATATTTTTAGATCCTTCTGCCACCTATATTTAAAAAAGAAAATAATTGCAGAGAAAGACTCATGATTTCGTGAAGTAGTTTATTCTTTGGATAATTCTGTACCTGTTAGAAATCTCTCTTAAAATGAGCTAAAACCGATATCTGAGCTGGCCTACCTCCTCCCATCCACTCACCATGTTCCTTGCCTATGTTCCCTCACTTACCCCTTCCTTCACCACGCTCCTCCTTCGTTACTAATGCTAACTCCTGAAATTTAAAAAAAAAAAAAAAAAAACGAACAGAGAATCTCTCCTCTTTCTGACAGGCTTCAAATACTTAAGAGCTACCATTACCATGTTCCTTTTGATGTCATTCAGTACAAATCTAAAATAAGAGTTGTAGTTACATATCTTAATTATTTGTCTCTCCCAATAGTTTCCACAATGGCTTAGGAATTCCAACACCTCATAAGGGATTAACTCCTTCAAATAAGTCATATGCACTAAAATTAAAGTAAAATCTTTTCAGTAAACTTAGTCTCTGAAAAAAAATGTCCCATTGTATGGATGGAATTGATTATTTACTTTGGTTAACAATAAGTGTGTGTGTGCATGTGTGCGCTTAGTCTCTCAGCTGAGCCCAACTCTCTGCGACCCCATGGACTGTAGCCCATCACGCTTCTCTGCCCATGGAATTTTCCAGGCCAGAATACTGGAGTGGGTTGCCATTCCCTTCTCCAGCGGATCTTCCCAACCCAGGGATCAAACCCAGGTCTCCTGCATTATAGGCAGATTCTTTATCATCTGAGCCACCAGGGAAGTCCATAATAAGTGTCCTTTCCATATTTCTCTTTCCCTTGTATGTACAATTACAAAAGCTAAGACATAAAGTAAAACCTCATGGATTTTCTAAGTGTATGAGAAACATGGTAATATCTTAGCTAACCATTCTTTCATAGATAACGTCAATTAAATGCATAAATAAAGACAAGATGCTTTTTTAATGCAAATATTTTAAGCATTGTGGCAGGATTAATTTATAAAGAAAAGGTTGATTCTTATTTAACTATTAAAAGAAGTCCCAAAGAACCTTCAGATGATATAATATATTCAGTACTGGAAGAAAATGTCATTCCTTTAAAATGTTCTATTATTCTCTTTCAATTACTTTAAATAAGATTCATTAGAGACATACTTTAATGAATAATATACTGTAGGATGTTCACTAATATAGTAATTATAAATAAAAGTGTAACAGAATGGGGTTGACATTTCTAAGTAACACTAATTTTCATGCTTATTAGTATGTGCACTATTAAAATAATAAGTTTTGAGAGTTAGGAAGCTTCCTAAACTTACTAATTACTGATGGAGCAAAATACATATAAAAAACTGGTATATAAAACTAAATAAAGATGTTTAATAAACAGCAGCTGAGGAAAAATGATAAACAATCTAAGAACAATTTGTTTGTCATGTACTAAAAAGTTTTACTTCTTTGGGCTGCTTATTTTTTTAAACTATGTCAAAAAGATGAGTTAAGATTATTAACAGGTTAACATTTTTTCTTCTTTTAAAAATGTCTATTTGTTTGCTTATGAACTGCTAACTCAAAATCACAAAGTAAAATGACCAATTTTTTTAAAAAATTGATAGAAGAAAGTATTAAGTGATATGAAGTCCATCTGATGTTCATTCCTATCAAAACTGAACCAGCAACAGGATCAATATTCAAGTTAAAAAAACACCACTCAAATAAAAAGCATATTTAAAAAAAGGGAAGGTTTACCCTAGAGATATCAACAGGTTTCTGAAATCAGATATCATACTGAATCTGAAACTGACACCTCACCTTCTGCTTCATTTATTGCAATAAATCATATAAATGATTCTGTATATACCCTACCAATTTATATCTTCAGAAGTGGGCAATAATGAGCATTTAGTATCATTTTTCTTTTCACCATATCTAAGTATTAAGTAAATTTTATTTTTAACTACTCATATTTTTCCATTAAAAAATGACATGATGGAACATGAAACCCAAATGCAACGAACAATGGTATACTACCACATAACTTGAATATATTAATAGAAGGTAAAATAAAACAATGTCTATTATAGTTCCATTTAAAGCCACACTAAAGTCACTTAAAGATCTTAAACTTAAAAGATCTTAAACTTAAAACTTAAAGATCACTTCTCCTTTTCTATCCCCTTAGTGCAGTAAGAGATCTTTTAGAGGCGTGCTAGTTTCCTGTAGAGATTTGCTGATGTTGTAGTCAGCAAATATTTAAAATTGATGAAGACTCAGTAACAAAAGAATAAATTATGCTCTCTTCAAAGCTGTGTTGAGAAACCAAACGCGTCTCTGTTACTGCTCCCTGAGTTAGGACTGTGGATGTGCTCTGCTCTATGAGAGAATCTGGAGTTTAATGACACCTCAGAGGCCCAGGTCTTTTCCCAGGCACTGACTTCCTTGATCAAAACTCTCTCCTACGCTTGTGTTACTGATTTCTTCATACTAAAAGAAAGAGTTTTACACTTAGTTCTGCTAAAACAGCTCAATAAAGCTCAAACATTGGATCTAGAGTCTGTCATTAAATTAATAGGCTCCCCTCCCAATTTTTCACAGGTTCCTTGGGTTTCAATGCTGGCTCTGCTACTGACTAGTTATGTGACCTTGGTGAGGTTTATCTTACCCTGCCTGCTTCTTCATCTGTAAAATGGAAATAATAATAGTAACTACTTCAGAGTTATTATATGAAGCAAATGAGTTATATATAAGACACTTAGAATAGTACTAGACATCTAGGAAATGCTACATAGATGGGAAAGATTACAGTGATGTTTTTCTCCAAGTTATTTTTTTTTGTATAGCATATATATACATGTATGTATTTAAATTCATACCTTATGTACATATAGATGGACATGCTTATTTATTTCTCTCCATTTTTTTTTCAACTTATTGCCCTCAAGGTCTATCTGTGTTGTTACAAATGGCAAGATTTCATTCTTTTTTAATGGCCAAATAGTATTCCATTGTGTATTTATACTCCAGTTTCTTTATCCATTCACTCATTGATGGACACTTAGGTAGTTTCTGTATCTTGGCTGTTGTAAGTAATCCTGGAGGAAACACGGGAATGCAGATATCTTTTTGAGTTAGTGTTTTCTTTTTCTTTGGGTAAAGATCAGAAGTGGAATTGCTGGATCACATGATAGTTCTATTTTAAAATTTTAGGAACCTCCATACTGCTTCCCACAGTGGCTGTACCACCAAGAGTTTATACTCCCACCAAGAGTATACAGGAGTTTCCTTTTCTCCACATCCTCACCAATACTTGTTTCTCATCCTTTTGATAACAGCTATTCTAACAGTTGTGAGGTAATATCTCATTGTGGTTAGGTTTGCATTTCTCTGATGATTAATGATGTTGAGCATCTTTTCATGTAACTGTTGGCTGTCTGCATGTCTTCTTTGAAAAAATGTCTATTCAGATCTTCTGCCCATTTTTAAATTGGATTGCTTGCTTTTTTTTTTCTATTGAGTTGTATGACTTCTTTATGTATTTTGGATATCAGCCCCTTATCAGATACATGCCTTACGTATATTCTCTCCCATTTTGTGGGCTGCCTTTGCATTTTGCTGCTGGTTTTCTTTGCTGTAGAGAGCTTTCTGTTTGATGTAGCCCCACTTGTTCATTTTTGCTTTTGTCGCTTTCACTTTTTTGTGTCAAAAAATCATAGCTGAGACCTATGTTAAGGACCTTACCAAGTTAGGGTTAGGATTATTTTAAAACAAAAAATATACTCAACATGGATCAAGCAGGAACTACAGGGAAGTGCCCCTCATTGCTAAAGGCTGGAAATTCATACAAAAAGGCCTAGCCATGAGGCTGGCCGCACTAGAGTGTAAACAGCAGCATGCGAGACACCGAGGTGGTGATATGTATTTCTCGATAAACACACACATACACAGAGTCTGAATTCCATCCCTAGGCCCAAACTCCTAGTATGAGTTCTCTTTATCAGAGACATCCCCACAAGCTGAAATGTATTATCTGCAAAAGTGTTAAAAGACAGCCCCTCTGGTAAGCTCACCAGTATACCCAAGGATATGAGATACTGAAGACACAAAATATCTACAGAAGTACTTGCCAGGAGAGAAATTGTTTGAGGGGGTTCATGCCATTAAAGGTGCTCATAAGTACTGCCTGTTTTGATTCTGACATTAAAAAATAATCAGTAAGTTAAGAAATTATTTAAATAGTTTTCTTCTTTAAAACAGAACAGCTTGAGAGTTGCTAAGTGAGGACTGAAGGAGCACACACATGGTTAGTAGAAATGAGCTGAGTCACATGACTGACTTAAAAGCTGGTTTAAAACCAGTCCAGATTTTCCCATCATAGTTTGAACCATTATACAGTTTGAAATTTTTGTTCTTTAATATATATATATTTAACTTATATGCATAATGAAGAGTGGTTTAAAAGGAAGATATGTAAGAAACAATGAAGCAGAAAACAAATCAATGACAATCTAAGATGCAGAGTGGAGAAGAAACACTTAAGTCCTTGAATACCAGTTTGCCTGGCACTCAAGCTGGGCACTGTTCTTGCACAGTATTAACTCATTTAATTCTCTTAAAAACCTTTTGAAGTGCTATTATTATTCCCACATATAGATAAGGAAACTGAGGCTGAGAAGGAAAGGCTAAATAACTTGCTCAAGATCAAAGGACTAGTAAGTCAGGAGTCAAATGCAGTGTGACAATAGAGACAACATTCAATATGATCAGTGCCGTGTCTGTAAATTATATTCACATAATCAAAACGATCACATAGCACCTCAAGACAGTACTATTTTTACAAGGAAGCTTAAAAAAGAAGAGTAGATGATAAATGATTTAGTTTTTAGTTCATGGGAAACACAGACTCATTTACTACTTTAATGTCATTTATCCATTTCAGTATTAAAAAATTTAGAACTGAGACTATTTCCCATTTATTAGAATTTGCTCTGAGCTTTGAGAGGGTATT